AGGTTGTCTTTTCGTTTTGTTGATGGTTTCCTTTGCTGTGCAGAAGCTTTTTAGTTTGATGTAGTCCCATTTGTTTATTTTTTCTATTATTTCTCTTGCCCGGTCAGACATGGTGCTTGAAAATATGTTGCTAAGACTGATGTCGAAGAGTGTACTGCCTATGTTTTCTTCTAGAAGTTTTAAGGTCAAATATCGTATGATCTCCCTCATTAAGTAGTAGATAATAACAAACACATAGAGACAGAGATTGGATTGGTGGTTACCAGAGGGGAAGTGGGGAGGGAGGAGGGCGAAAGGGATAATTCGGCACATGTGTGTGGTGATGGGTTGTAATTAGTATTTGGGTGGTGAACATGATGTAATCTATGCAGAAATATAAGTATAATTATGTACACCTGAAATTTATACAATGTTATAAACCAATGTTACTGCAATAAACAAAAATTAAAAAAAAAAAAAAAAAAACAACATTGAAAACAATTAGAAGGAGTCCTGAGAAGTCCTCACAAACGCCAGGGGAAGGATGGCAGCCACTGACCTCCAGGGATGCCTGGCATGGTCCTGAGGTGGCTGTCCCTGCCGGGTGTTGCCCTGGGCTGAGAGCTCTGGACCCGGCCTAGTGCTGTGTGACCATAAACGCCATGGCTCCAAGGCAGACATTTTCTATATGACCTACAGGATAAGCAGTCTGCGCTGGATGCAAAATATGTGACCGTTCAGAATACAGTTCCTCTTTGGCTGCGTATTTTATTTTAAGGACATGTGATGTTTAGTATTCACTTCTGAGTATCTTCAATGAGACAGATGTCTCACCAACTGCCCTGGGATGGTCACCCATCCCAGTCTATTCTGATTACTAGACAATGGGCTTCTTCAAGACAATAAATTATTCTTAGTCCTGGTACCCTGGCACGTGAGACCTGCTCCACGAATGTGTTCTGAAGAGGATCAAAGAGAATCAGAAACCCAATTCTTTGGTTATTAAATGAAAGATCTGTGACTTGAACCTGGATTCTCAGTCTGATACACTTTCCTCTAAAACATGTTGCCCACCAAACATAGATAAATGGGTTGATAGAAATTAAAATCCTCATGATAATTTAGAATTGGAGTTTTTGGCACCAAAGAAACTAAAATCAGTGGAGTTGGTAACTCTAAGGTAAATTTTATTTTACGGTGGCATTTCGGTGTCTTCTCTCCAATCTTTACTATGGTATGATGTTTCACAATAAATTAGGAAACAGTTGACAGTTTTTCTGGTTTCTATAGCTCTCACAGCATGATTATAATAAAGCATGATGGAAGAATATAATCTGAATCAAGGTCCAGAGACCCTGCCTCGCCTGGCCCTTGACCTGTTGGTCATTGTGGTATCCTCCTTGTCTCTGCCTTTATCACCAAATGATAATTGCGCTTGGCTCCTTGCTGCCCCTCATCCCTGGTGAGCGCGTTCAGCCCTCAGTCTGTGCATTAGCCCCTGCTCACCGCGCAGAGTCCTTGTCTCTCTTACACACCTGGCTGTTCCCTCACTTCAGTCTCCGCTCAAATGTTAACTCTTCAGAGATCCTGTCCCACCTGATGTAGAAACTCTTGCCACTTTCTATTTCCTCCTACCTGCTTTCTCCTTCTTCAGTGCATTTACCCCTGTCCGGTGTATTTTATATTACTTGTTCATTTTCTGCTGACCGCCCTAAACTATAAGCTCCACAAATCAGCAGCTTGGTCTATTCACTTGTTTCTTAGACTTTAGAGCTAGAACAGTCAAGGTGCTCAAAAATATTTGTTACAGTCTGAAAAATTAGGCAATGGCTATTCACTCTTTGTAGGGAAGAAAAAAACCCAGCCGGCTGTGTTATAGCCAGAAACTATGTATCTACACCTGGTCAGATGTCTTAGAAGTTCCTTTCAATAACACAATGATACCAAGCACCCACTTGGTTCTAGGTGCTGTTTTACGTGCTAGGGAGTAGAGAGAAAGATATGGTTTAGTCATTATTCCAGAAAAACTTGCGGTGTAGTGGGGTAGAAAGACAGGTTCAAGGCTATATCAGTTCAGACTAGATTAGTTCTAAAACCTCCCCCCAAAAAGCTACCTGTATGTCCTAGAGCAGGCAGTAAAAAAAATCTGGACTATGGGGATTTAAGGAGACTTTAACAAAGAGAGATGTCATAAAAAGGAGAGGGTGATGTCTTAGATGGGAGCACCAGAATGAAAGAAAGTGTGGTAGCATGGAATACCCTGGAATGTTCAGTACGCCTCTGCGGCTAAAATGGGAATGTCCTTGATGGGGTGGCAGAAATTGAGCCTTGAAGATGTGTGAAGTGTTTGGCAAATGTGTGCTGATGGCTTTGAAGGGTCTCTTTACGACGTACAAGCACCTGTTAGGTGGGTCTCCTGCAGGTGTGCCCCTGTGGGCTTGGTTGGAGAAGGCAGGCAATTCCCTGGAGTGTTGAGAAGATAAAGAAGTGAGAGTCAAAAATAGTGAGGCCCCAACATGTCGAAAAATCACATGGATAAAAAGTCCGATAAGGGATACAAAGCCGAGATACTTAGTTATGTAAAGAAGTCCAAGGGAACTTGGTTATTACTGAAACAAGCTTTCATTCCTCTATGCTTCTAGCGCTGTGTGCTGGGGTCATGGCAGGTGCAAGCAGGGCATGGGAAGATGAGTAATAACTGTCCTCAATTAGCAGGCAGTCCTGCAGGGAAGCAATGCTCCATGCCAGGTGCTAAATATCAGAGAGCAGCTATGGTATTATGGATCAGGAGGCTTGGATTTAATTGAATGATATCGCCTTTTGTAGACCAAAAATTGTCAAATGATTGGCAAGTTCATATGGTTCATCTTAATATTTTTAATGTCCTTTCTCAGAAATCTGCCTGTAAACTCTCTACGGTAAGCTATTGACCCAGTTCCTCTAATATGATTTCTAGTATCTAGTCCAAGAGTGATACCTCTTTTGTGCAAACATTTTATTCTCTCCAGAAAGACCACATAAGGATGCAAGAGGTAGGAATTGCCATACCAGACTCAATTGTCTATCTTGCTTTTTTGGTTTATATGTCAGCTAATACTGATATACCAGTTTTAAAAAAATGTTCATATACATTAAAAGAATAAATAGTAAATCCAATTACTCATTTGTTATATAAATATTTATAAACATAGTGTAAAATATCAAATGAAAATACAATGTATTAAAGATGAATGTTAAATATATAGTGTCAATATGATATAAATGTTTTAGATCAAGTATTAAAATATCATTAAAAATACTTAATAAAATTCAGAAAAATTAAGATGAAAAATGAAATAATATTATTTAGTACTCTTAAAGGTCACCAAAAAAGAAAAACATATCAATAAAGACATCATTGAGTCCTCAGTAGACTTTTGTACAAATATTCCCAGCTGCTGAAAACCAGAATCAGAGAAGACGTGAGGAACTAATTACAAGCTAATATTTTCTTTAGACACCTCGCTATCAAATTCCTTTTCTAGTTTGATGATTTGGATGGGATTTTTTTTTTCCCTCTGGGGGTTTCAATCTTTTAATCGATAACAAACTATAGTGTTTGTTTCAAGGAAAGCACTTCAAGGTCATCTTTGACATCTTGCATTTCATCACATGTGGAAGGAGTTTTGATGCAGTTACTATATCAATGTCAACACTGTCTTATTCATCTTCTCCTCCTTCTACTTGCTCAGAAAATGTGTGAAGTAGAGGCAGATTCTCAAGTGAAGGGGGTGTGACCTCCAGGGAAATCTCAAAATCTCTGTGGAATTTGTCACAATCATTTGGAGGCAAGACTGGCACTTAGCATGTCGGGGTCAAGGATGCAGAATGTCCCCCAAAAAGCTCGTCCGTGTGAAGCTTCACTGGCCTAATCATGGGTCACTTGCATATTCTTCTGTGGCTGCACAACAAGTCCTGTTTGCACACACTGACCTACTGATTTGGGACCACACTGCCTTGGCAGTCACTAGGCCGCGTTGACCATATCAGACGACAAGTTCTGCTGCAGGCCAGCAGAGGTCTTGCATCCGGATCAGGGAACATCAGCATCTTTGGTGGAAATGAGTGACCATAGGATGCTCTGGACCCTCAGCAGGAGAATCAGAGAGACCCTCGTCTACACCCACACTCTACGTCTAACTACAACCATTTTATGTCTGAGCACTCTGCAAAATCAGGAGTTTCTTGACTCCGTTAATGTAGAAAATAGTAGTATTCAAAAATGCCATAATTTACTTCACCATAAGAAGAAATATGAACTTTAGTATCACAGAGGCAGAGAGAAACATCTAGAAGCCTAAGGTTTGCTAATAATCATGGTAATGGCTAATATGTTGAGCCCAATATACTGGGTACTTTTTGTGAATTATATTGTTTAGCTCTCACAGCCCCCTTTGAGGTAGGAAGTAGAAGCTGATGGTGTGAAAATTAAGGCTTTGCAAGTCTAAATTGCACCTGGTGGCCTAGCAAAGACTGGGTCATTCATAACCAGGTCTGGCATCCTGACTCCTGACCTCAGAACTTTGCCAGAACCCAGGGCAACTATCCAACGGAGAGGCCACACCAAATGCGAGCTCTTTTCTGTTATAAACCATTGGTCTGAATTGCCTTTGATTATGTCAGTGAAAGAAACTTGGTTCAAGGCATCCCAAGCCGGAAATTCGAGTAAATCTATTCCCAGCTCCTTTCAACTCAGGTTCAACAACCGGCACTCCAAGGCTGGCCTTAAGGAAAAGTGTTCTCTTGGCTTTCTTTGGCCTGCCTTGCATCCAGGACCACTTTTGCTCCCATGTAACTGTTACTGTAAGGGTCACCTTCGTTAATTGATAGCCTGTGATGTCAGCAGACCACAGTGAACCTTTACCCAATGCCTGCTTTTGTTTTGTTTTTTTGTTTCTTTTGCTATTTTGCTTAAGAAAACAGAAGTGGGAATATCCTATGTTGGAAGTCTTGATACTGTTATCTTGGTACTTGATACTAAACAGTTGGAAGTAGTTTCTTCTCTCAAGTGAAATAAGCCATCTCTGGATCAATCTCTGGGTGTGTATATGTTCCCCACGCTGTAGGCACGTACCTTAACACCATTCAGAAATACAGTCTGAGTCACTTCTACAAACATTCCAAAAAATGAGAACTTGATGAGAAAGTGGTTAGGTTGCTAATAAAATCTAGATTTGAATTTGCTGTTGGTCATTGCAAGATAATAAAGTGCAAGTCCGTGAAGAATTTCGGAAAGAAAACCAATAGACGCATTTCTGAGACATGTACATAGAAAGATCCTATGTTTGCTGAAACTCACTTCCATCCCTGCTCCACTCCAGCAGCCCTGCAGAGTGATCCTTTAAGCTTGTACCAGATCACGTCCTGTCTTATCCTAACACCTGCAGTGCCTTCTTGCCACACCACTCAGCACAGAAACCCCACAGGCTGCTCAGGACGGTCCCTCCTTCCTCTGTGGACCACCTCTTCCCGTTAAATCCCCCTGCAGAGATTACCATGGGTACTGACCACACAGGGCTTAGGTCTCTTTCTCAGAAGGGCTCATTTCAGTCTTACTTCATAGTATTTTTACTTTTCCCTTCCTCCTCCATCCATTTTTCTGCAGCCCTTTAAACTCCTTCATTTTGCTTCAAGTTATCTATCGTTATCTGAAATCATGGACGTTTTTATATTTTATTGTTTCCCTCCATATAATGCAAGCCCCATGAGTGTAAGATTTTGTCTTGTTTGTCCACTAACCTCATTAGCGAGAACAGGGTCTGACACGTAGTTGGCCCTCAAAACATATTCTTTGTATGAATAAATAAATAAATAACACATTCTATATAGTTAACATTTAAGACAGAGCGAAGTTTGAAATACACCTGTGGTTTTGGTGCATTTGCGTCCATATTTCAATACAATCGTGTTTTAATGAAAAGAGGTTTGATTCTGCATATTTTCTTTTCATTTGAAGACCATAAATATATTCATTTTGTTTCACCGATGAGTTTTAACATTAATTTAAAGGAAAGGATATTCAAATGGATATTTTGATTTAAATATTCAGTAGGGAATGCACAATCTCACTTAATTTATTTACATTAAAAAATACATAGATTAAAGCAAAATTGGTGTTTAGATTTTAGGGGTAACAATTGTCGATAGCGTGCAGGAAGTGTGTGAGTTAGGAAGAGGCATCTATTAATTGTCACATTTGCATTGTCAACACATCTGTGTAGCCATGTGTATCCCTTCAAAGACAATAAATTAAATATCTTTCAAGTTTAAATTACACTTTTTTTGGCTTTTGTAATTAAATGTTAGATGACTCGAATATCCTTTTGAAGCTGTTTATGAAAATGATGTTTAGACCAGCAAACGTAAACCACTTGTTCATTTTCTAAATTGTTGAAAAATGTCTACTGTGTATTTTTTTAATGGTTCACTTGTCTTTCCTGCTTTCAGAAATTGAAAAGGGAGGATGCGGGGACCCTGGCGTCCCTGCCTACGGGAAGCGGACGGGCAGCAGCTTCCTCCATGGAGACACGCTCACCTTTGAGTGCCAGGCAGCCTTCGAGCTGGTGGGGGAGAGGGTTATCACGTGTCAGCAGAACAACCAGTGGTCTGGCAACAAGCCCAGCTGTGTATGTGAGTATGGTGCCTTTACTGAGCCCCTTCTGTCCTGACACTGCCTTATCGCCTTGCCAGGGGGAATCAACAGGAAGTAGCAGAGCACACGTCCAGGGAGGGCAGCTTTCAGAGTCACCAGAGACCCGCAAGCCGTTCTCAAACACCAACTTCCCCACTTTCTTCACTTGGTTAACACTAATCAATGTGTTTGCATCAATGTGGTCTACATCTCCATAAAATGTAGCTGAGAGCTTTCTACTAGAAACAACGTAACACAAAGCATCGTTCGCATCGAGAGCCTGGGATGCTGGACTGTAGGAGACATCAATAGGGCAATGGAGGTTTTGTGACTTAACAATGTGCTTGGTGCTTAAACACAAGTTGTGAGCGTGGGCAGTGGTACGGTTTGGATTTCAGTTGAAGAACTGCCTGCTTCCTCATAAACATAGTGTTTTAACAAGTAGAAAGAAAGACTTCATAGCCAATTTAAAAGCAGGATTTTTTTTGTAACAAAATATAGCAACGGCTGGAAAACGTTTATGAAATTATGTGGAAATAAGAGCAAATCCACAAGGTGGTGATAAACTCAACAGGTGCTCTCTCCAAAAAAGAAAGAAAAAAATATGTATATATAGCTGATTTTTAAATACACGTTCTTAAAAGTAAATTTTCCAATTAATTTTTATATTATCCTCCCAGAACACAGTCTGATTTTCCAAGTTATAATTTATTAATTGTTACCCTGTAACTAATAAAAATTTAAATAATTTGAAAAAATTCACTTTAAAGGCAAACATAAAATATAAAGTGAAAAGTTATCATAGAAGACTGAATGGAACCAATATTATTTTCTGGAAATTGTTCCTATGAGACAGACCTTTTCATATTAATATTTGCTCTTCTGAAGGCAGAAAGTTATAACTAGAAATTCTATTTGCCAGAAGTTTCAGTCAACTTGATAGGATCATTTTTCAATCAAGCCTACACTTGATTATTTATAGGCTCTGGTTGTGTTATGTATAATGGAATATGCTATTTACACTTTCGGGGAGAGAAACTGTTATGGTCCAGAATTGCCAGGTTAAAAATAGGACCATCCGAGCTCTCTGTAAGATCGCAAATATGGACTTCCTTCTCCAGTTCTTAGCGACTGTTTCATGTAGCCAGTTCTTTGGATATGGGCAAAACTGAAAACTTATTCGTGTCTTCACAGTTTCATGTTTCTTCAACTTTACGGCGTCATCAGGAATCATTCTCTCACCAAATTATCCAGAGGAATATGGGAACAACATGAACTGTGTTTGGTTGATTATATCTGAGCCGGGAAGCAGAATTCACCTCATCTTTAACGATTTTGATGTGGAACCTCAGTTTGACTTCCTGGCGGTCAAAGACGATGGGATTTCTGATATAACAGTCCTCGGGACTTTCTCTGGCAATGAGGTGCCCTCCCAGCTGGCCAGCAGTGGGCACATAGTTCGCTTGGAGTTTCAGTCCGATCACTCCACCACCGGCCGAGGGTTCAACATCACTTACACCAGTAAGTGTGCCTCCACCACCACCACTCTCATGTCCCCACATTTAACACGAGTATGAAGTTGAATGGAAGGCTGATACTTCAGGGGTTTATAATCACTATTAAAATGATGAGAGTAGCAAAATTATACATCATTGTCCTGATAACCTAAAAAAATACATCTCTCTTGTAGCCGGCCCTGCCGAGTAGCAGTTAAGTGCGTGCGCTTTTCTTCAGCGGCCCGGGGTTCACAGGTTCGGATCCCCGGCGTGTACCGCCACACCGCTTGTCAAGCCATGCTGTGGCGGCGTCCCATATCAAGTAGAGGAAGATGGGCACGGATGTTAGCCCAGGGCCAGTCTTTCTCAGAAAAAAGAGGAGGAGTGGCAACAGATATTAGCTCAGGACTGATCTTCCTCACACACACACACAAAAATACATCACATTTTAGGTTAGGGTCTTGGTCACTCCTGTAGTAAGGATTGGGTCTCTCACGTATCTTCTCTCTCTCTCTGATTTTCCTTCTTTCCTTCCTTTCCCCCCTTCCTTCCTTCCTTCTTCCTTCCTTCCTATCTTCCTGACTTCTTTCCATGCATTCGTCCATCCATCCATACATCCATCCATCCTTCCTTCCATCCATCCATCTATCCATCCATCCATCCTTCCATCTTTTCTTCCATCCGTCCTCCCACCCATCCTCCATGCACCAAAATGGTGTAGTAAAAAGGATTGAGGCATTTGGGGTCAGGAGCCATGGGTTAGAATAACAACACTATATTTGGTGAATTTTGATAAAACAGCTAACTTGTCTTTGCCTCAGGTTCCGCAAAATAGATTATAGTTAAAGAACATCTACTTAAGTGCAGTGTTGAGGGATAAAGTAAAATAATAATGTTAATATGAGTAATAGTAAATTATAATTTACTGACTGCCTACTTCTCTTAGGTACTGTGCAGAGGATATGCCAGTAATTACTTCATTTGATGTTACAGTAACTCTGGGATATAGACTTGGTATTCCTCATTCTGTAAATAAAGATAGCCAGGCTCAGATCATCAGAGTAATCTGTCTGTCCAAGGACAGATAATAAACACAGGAGCCAGGATTCTAACACAGATAGGACTGAACCAAAACTCTTTCCACCACCTGCCATATCTCTTCTCTCTTTTTCTTAGTGCATATGAAAAGTGCTTTCAAACTGTAAAATGAAATGACAGTGATATCTATTTATCCATATGCACACTCTCTCCTTCTCTCTCTCTAGATTTCGGGAATCCTGTTTATTTAATGTATTTATCTATCTTTGACTATGTAACTGAATTTGGAACAATAAATTGCTTTATAAGTAGGTTCTGTTTCCTTCTTTTTTAATACACATAATTAATACTCAAGTATTTTTTTTCTAATTATTTTTCTTCCTTTTCCTTTTCAGCATTTGGTCAAAATGAGTGTCACGACCCTGGCATTCCCATAAATGGACGGCGTTTTGGTGACCGGTTTCTTCTTGGGAGTTCAGTGTCTTTTCACTGTGACGATGGCTTTGTGAAAACCCAGGGGTCAGAGTCCATAACCTGCATCCTGCAGGACGGAAACGTTGTCTGGAGCGCCACCGTCCCCCGCTGTGAAGGTCCGCTATCATTTGCCAGCTATTATTCTTTGAAATGGTGCATCAAACTTAAAAAACAACAACAGTATCGGCTTCCTAGGGCTGCCATAACAAAGCACCATAAACCTGGAGGCTTAACCAATAAGAAATGTGGTGTCTCCCAGTCCTGGAGGCTGGAAGTCCGAGATCAAGGTGTCGGCAGGCTTGGTTCCTTCTGAGGACCGTGAGGGAGAATCTGTTCCAGGCCTCTTTCCAGCTTCTGGTGGTTGCTGGTGATCTTTGGTGTTCCTTGGCTTGTAGAAGCATCATCCCAGCTCTCTCCCTGTGAGAATGCCTCTGTGTCCCACTTCTCTCCCTTTCTAAGGACACCAGTCACATTGGATTAGGGCCCACTCTGATGACCTCATCTTAACTAATTACATCTGCAATGACCCTATTTCCAAATAAGGTCACATTCTCCGGTGCTGGGATTAGGAATCCAAAATATGAGTTTTGAAGGGATGTAATTCAACCCATAACAACAACGTAGTTTGTAGTTAACTATTTTGTTGCTCTTAAAGTGGCTGACATGTATACTGCTTAATTAATTTTCTTCTCAGCATTTCCACTGATTACCTGTGTAATAAAACTAGGGAAAAACATTTTAAAAAAAGGATATTACCTCTAATGATTACTCAATTAAAAATATTTACTTAGAATGTATATTCACACCTTCCCTATCAGAATAGCCTATGCACAATGAGCTAAGAAAAGCTTTTTAAAAAAAAACTTATCTCCAATAAATTCCAAAGAAATGCAAAATTTTTAAACATACACATATTTTAGAGCAGTTTTATGTTCACAGCAGTATTGAGTGGAAAGGACAAAGAGTTCCCATGTACCCCCTTCCCGTATGTTTGCACAGCCTCCCCCGTTATCAACATCCCCCACCAGGGTGCTACATTTGTTACAATTGATGAACCCACATTGAAACATCATCATCACCCAAAGTACATAGTTTACTTTAGGGCTCACCCTGGGTGTTGTACATTCAGTGGGTTTGGACAAATGGATAATGACATGTATCCCTCGTTTTAGTATCATACAGAATATAGTTTCATGGCCCTGAAAATCCCCTGTCTTCTGCCTATTCATCCCTCCCTCTCCCCAGCCCCTGGCAACTATTGCTCTTCTCACTGTCTCCATAGTTTTGTTTTTTCCAGAATGTCACATAGTTGGAATCATACAGTATGTAGCCTTTTCAGATTGGTGACAAATACAAATTTAAAAACAAAGGTGAAATACCGTGCTTGCCTATCAGATGGGCAAAGATTTAAACACATTAATAAGAAGTATCACTGGTAAGTTGTGGAATAACTAGGGTTTCCTGGCCCAGCTATTGAGGGTATAAAATCATGACATCATTGTGTAAATTCATGTTAAGAGTCTCACATTTTTTCTTAACCTTTTGAGCTATAACCTATATTTTGGATCATTATAATAAGGACATAAACAAGCAACTATGAGAAGATTGTTTTTCAAGAATGCTTTTGCAGTACTAAATATAACAGAAAAAGTAGGAAACAACTAAATTTCAAACAGAGAATTGTTTAGATAAATCATGACTCATTCATATGCCCGGATAACATGCATCATTAACAAAGATTGTGACATCAAAGATGCTCAGTATTTGTTATCATGTGAAAGACAAGACGATATAACCACATGTGTTGTAATATGCCATTTTGGAAAACATATAAACATATAAGTATCTCATAATAATAATAAAAAAAAGCTAAAAAGGAAGGTACACACAAAAATATTAATTTTGATTATGGGTGATTTTTTTCATTCTTTGTTTATTTTAATTTTCTCAGTTGTCTTCAGTGACTAGGTGTTTCTTTTATAATAGGTAAAGAGAAAAGAAATATATATCAGCTATAACCTGTAGCTATAACCTCCTACGAGAATGCCTTGGTCTACCGTCACCAAGACCCTGAGCTGCAGGTAGTCTAAGCAGAACCAGACCCTAAATGTGGAAGGTGAAACCCCAGCTGGCTGACCAGCAATATGGTGGAGGGGGTTATGCCTCACCATGTTATCTGCCCTCAGCCCTGCCTCCAAAGTTCTTCATCATTATTTTAAGGATCATCAGTATCCTAGGTCAGCACTGGCTGACTGTGAAAACTACAGAAAGGTGTTCTCGTTTCCACACTTTCATAAATTGTTAAAGCAATTTTGTGGACTAGGAGCACCACCCGGGGATGGAAAATTGATAAAGTGAAGGACAAGGAAACCATAGTGGGATTTTCATTTTTATCTATTTTCATCACATATTTTAATTGTATGGTATTTGTATGTTACATTTTATCAAAAGTTAATAAATGGATGGGTTATTATCCTTTATAAATATGTAAACATACTCATGGGTGTTCAAATAAATGATACTAATAATGGTCACGATTAAATATGTTTGCTGATACTGCTCCAGCCAAGTGTATCCTTGTTGACTTGAAGCATGAATGACTTCATGAGAAAGAATTTTAGAACAATCAGTGCTCTCTAGTCTCTGTCTCCTCTGGCCTCGATTCTCGCTGTCACTGGTGTGCTCACCTGTAATAGGCTGTGTGCAGGTGCATTATAAGCTGCAGGGCAAGTCAGTCCCTCAGCACAGTCAGGGGAAAAAAGGGACACTAATAAGTGGCCGATGATGATTGACATAAAGTCAGACAGAAGGAGAAAGTATCACATTAACTGCGAATGGGCAATTCTCTCATTATTTGGAAGGGACCTTCGGATGGGTTCAATGCAAAACCCAGCCCTGGGTTGTTAACAAAGAAAACCCTTAACACAAAGGACTAGTTAACTGTGAAAAAGATTTTTAAAGTTTACTTGTGCTGAGACCCCAATTCCTGAGCACAGGTGAATCTCAGAGAGGGTACCTAGATAGTCTGATAATATGGCTATCAAGATACCCCATCCGAGTGCCCATGCTGAAGAGAAATAGAAATCTTACTTTCAGAATTAAATAGATCTAGTAAGAAAAAATCAAATGGCGATGAAAGATTAAGTAGTAAAAACAACAAATTTGATTTAAGAGGTGCAAAAGGAAACTCACATTCCTTAAAGAATATGCAGGTTTACTGTTTTTTCAAGGATCACTTTTTATAATCAATTATATAATTGGTCATAAGGTGAACCTTAACAAATTAAAATAAGTCTAGGCCACATGCCCTGATCATATTCCAATTAAAGTGCTTTAAAAATATAATATTCTATTGCAGAGATTATCTCATGTTAGCAAAATTTCAAAACATTACTTCGAATGTATGTGTGACATTCCAGTATGTGATCATGCTCTCTTCATAATTCTTTACTTTTCTTTTCCCTTTTCTTTTCTAAGTTAAGCTACTGTGATCACTTCTACAGATTTCTCTGTCAGATTTTTTTCTAGTGTCAAACTCTGCATAAGATTTTATAAAATTTTTCAGCATTTTAATGCATATTGCTATTTTTCCATAAAAGAAATGTTTTTCTACAATAGATATATACTTTGTAACTGGGAACATTTTCATATATTTTATTTGATATCCATAGATTCACAAGGTGATTATGAAAAAGACAAAGAACTTTGAGAAAAAACAGATAAAATCTAAAAAAAATATGTGGCTAGGCAGAAACTTGTTAAATATTCACACGCTATTATGTAAAACTTCCTGTGGATTATACAGAAATGTGTGATCACTTTACCGAGCAGCAGGCATATACCCCCTCAGACTCCTTTTCTTCTTCATAATTATGGGTCACTGCCTGTTACAGAGCCCTTCAAAGGGGTTGATGCAGACTAATTCTATGTTTATTGAATCTGTTTGAAAATTTTGCTTTGTTTTCTAACATTCACCAATTTAGTATGATGTATGTGGCAAATTATTCCGAGAATGAACATAACTCGAAGTAAATAAACACACACATATATCATTAAAATATAACATATATCTCTACAAACACACACACCACAGAGTATTTCAATTTTACGTGTGAGGTAATTTTAAGTTTGCCAGTCAATAGGTGTCTGTTGAATTCTGAATATGTGTAAAACATGAATATCAACAGTGTTAGTGCCTCATGAATTTGTTGTGCCAATTGATGTGATAATTCATGGAAGTCGTTTCGCACAGAGCGCCCACTCACACCTTACCATTACTAGAAAAAAGAACTTTGCTGTGACTTGATGATAAATGCCCAGATGTGGAATACGTAAGCTCTGCTTTCAATTAGCTTAGTTTACTTGGGAATAAGTTTTGCTTGAATACTTGCAAACATTAAATCCGTGAACACAGAAAAGCAAATTCCTGCTGTAATTGAAGTGTCAGTATGGTACAACTTCATACGTTTAATTTGACCTGCTGATACCCTGCATTGTCTTTCAGCCCCGTGCGGTGGACACCTGACAGCCTCCAGCGGAGTCATTTTGCCTCCTGGGTGGCCAGGATATTATAAAGATTCTTTAAACTGTGAATGGATAATTGAAGCAAAACCAGGACACTCTATCAAAATAACTTTTGATAGGTAAGGAAAACCCTTTTGTCTCTTCATTTGAACCTAACGACCCATGCATGCCCGATGTTCTTATTGGATCTTAAAACTTAGAAATATGACAATTCTTTATTGGTTGCCCCAAAGGAGTTCACTTAAAAAGACACAGACGCTTGGCAAGTCTTGTTCTTGAATTTTGTCCTCTAGGCTCACAGTTAAGGCACCTCTGAAGAGGGAGAGGAGGTCCTGGACGACCATTTCCCAGGGCTCACAGTGGCTGGCCCTTGAGCCCCGCTCTGGATTTTGGAGCTGCAGGTGGAATCTATTCTGCTTGCTGTTTGGTTGGACGCGGAAGCCCCTTTGGTCCCTTAGCTCCCTTCTGGAACAGCGCAGGAAAACAGCTCTCCCATTCCAGTGATGGCCATCAGTAACTGGAGGGCAACTTTAAGTTGCAGGGCTGGCAATGGAGTGTGTGCCACAGATGAATTACCTATGAGTGGTTCTGTCACTGGAATGTTGTTTGGCTTAGCTATTGGATAATGTATTTGATAATCTAAAAAAGATAAACATGCTATTTGAATTCTCCATGGTAAAACATATTTCCATTTGTCTCAACAATGAGATGAATTTGATGATTAAAAATCAAAAATGGGGCCGGCTCCGTGGCTTAGTGGTTAAGGGCGTGCGCTCTGATGCTGGCGGCCCGGGTTCGGATCCCGGGCGCGCCCCAAGGCACCACTTCTCCGTCCAACGCGAGGCCGAGTCCC